TGATGCTTACTTGAGATGTTATTTCAAGCTGTTTCAGCCTTTTTTTACACTTGTTGAACTCTGTGTCACTGATATTAAATCTCAGTGCACTATCGTCATTGAGTTTGCACCGTTCAAATATTTGGTGCTCAAATATCTGTTCCACCACCTCATCCTTCGGCCATTTGAACGTCCCGCGTTCTTTAACATTTTCCTCCAGAAAGGACACAGATATAACATTGCCCTTGGCGCTAACAATAGCTCCAATAAAATAGCGTGRGCTATCTGTGTATGCCACARMTACAAAGTTTCTCTATAGAATAAAATGGGTATGTTACGAATTAATCAATGGAGGTGAAATGCATTTCTTGACTGATCGTCTTGTACCTCTGAAGAATGCTTGTGGCCAAGCTTCGTTTTCTTTGCCCCTTCCTAAAAATACCATTTTCGATTTGCAAGATTGTTTTGTCGTAGTGTGCGAAATTTGGGTGTTACTGGCTAACTTATACTTACCGTGTCAGGTGTATCAACTACGTGCTTCCTTTTTTTGGAGGAATCTTTTTTGGGGGCTAAAATAAGCAGAGTAGATATGAAAATTCTCAAAAATACCATTAATAGGCATTGAAACTTTRTGTTAAAACCTGAATTACCTCAGGCTCATTATTGATTTCAGTAACGGGGTCCTGGTTCTCAACATGACTATCCTCGTCTTCTTGTTTTATGTCAACAGTCAAGTTGCTCTCAGTGTCACTGTGGATAGTCCTAGTCTGCAATGTAATTAATTTAAAAGTAAAGCTACTAATATAGAACTATATTCAAACAACGTCGTATCGCAGAACAATTGAACTGACCTCTGGAGTGGTTTGTACAATATCCCACTCTTTTATTTCTTCCAAAAGAAGATTTATACCGTTTGAAACCTGTAAAGTAAAAATCTTGAGCATTTCCTAATTTACTTGGAACAAACGTCTTAAAAATATAAAATTACAGTGTAAGTGTAACTAGTCCTACATACCTGGATTTCTGTGGAAACTTCATTAAGTCCACATTTATCRCGGTTGCAGTTTTCTTTGGTCTTGCACTTTATAGTAGGATTCMCATTAGACAAATTCTGTGGTCGATAAAAAAATTTCCGACATTAAAGCATGAAAATAAGGCATTCAAAAATCATAATGTCAAATACCTCTGTACATTGAGCTACTTCCTCGAGTTTCTCTTTGCTTTCCTAGAAAAGTAAATAAAGTTTTTATATTAAGATATAATACTTATCTTAATTTGGCGATTTTTTAAGCTTACCACATTGTCAAAATCTGTCTCTTTGGTAATGCAGAGAGCTTTCGCTTCTGAAGTCCTTTCTTTTTCTAATTGCAATCTCTACACATTTTAATAAGCCTCTTTAGTAAAAGAAACAGCTATGATGCATGTATGATTCAAACATATATAAAGTGTTATGAAAATATATCAAAATTTCCATTTCAGTATACAAAACAAAGAATATACCAATAGATCAACATAAAATGGTTTCAAGATTAAATGGGGTTATGGTAGTCTATATTCCTACCTTCTCGYAAAGGTCATATCGTTCGGCCATTTGCTGTTGTTGGCTATCGACGATTTCTTGTAATGCTTGCCTCTCGTGCATTTCCTGAAAGAGGTTGTGATACTATAATTAATGTTAGCTGTAAAGAAAGTTACAATAATAGGCCAAGGATGAGAGTCAGTAATAGGGGTGGTGTACATTTTCCACCAGAAAGTGGTGGCTGACTATCCGCTAAAAAGGCGGACAATTGACTAAACCTATACTATATTTTGTTTTGTTAAATATACTGTTATTGCACCATCCGCAGTAACAGCGAGCATTCTTATTGCGTTAAAACACCTCGCATTAATCTGAAGTATCTCGACTTAGGAAAGAAAGCGTTTTCAAAAATATCCAGGTATTCAGGCGTTTTCGCGCGTTTTATATAATATTGTCTTAATAAGCCCTATCCTGGGTTAGAAGGGAGGTTAGAAGTGTCGCCATCTAATGATGTGTCCGTGGTCCGATAACCTATTTATAAGTGTTTTTTTTTTTTTGTTCTTATGATCACAAAGGGGATACGATTGAACAATATAGAGATAATAGGCTATAAGATGTCAATTACACAATGCTCACCGTTTTCAAGGAAGACCGAAGTTCTTGATTAGTTTCTTGCTCCCATTTCATGGTTTTCTGCAGACACTTAAGTTCAGACTTCAGTTTTGTCTCTGTTCTTCTATACTATAATAAAAACAAAAAACAGTTGACAATATTGAGTCAGTGGTAAAACAGATCAATATGTCTCAAGCAATTTATACCATGTCTATTTCTTCCTCAAAAGTCTTTAGATTTAATTCCAATTCTTTGGACTTTTCTTCCAATTCCTCAATCTATATATAGTAAGATTTTATTAATTAGATAAGTTTTCGATAAATTAAAATACGAGATAAAATGTCATTGAACAACCTTCAATGTATGTTCTGCGCAGAGGCGGCAATAAGATGTATCAGTAGTTGAAACTTGACATTCATCTTCTGAAGACTTAAAG